ACTGGAGTGAGATGGTATCTTAGCATAGTTTTAATTTGCATTTCTCTGATTGCTAGAGATGATGAGCATTTTTTCCGTATATTTGTTGATTGATTGTATATCCTCTTCTGAGAAGTGTCTGTTCAGGTCCTTGGTCCATTTTTTGATTGGATTATTTGGTTTTTTTGGTTCTTGTTGAGCTCCTTATATACCCTAGAGATTAGAGCTCTATCTGATGTGTGAGGGGTAAAAATTTGTTTCCAAGATGTAGGCTCCCTGTTCACCTCACAGATTATTTCTTTTGCTGAGAAAAAACTTTTTAGTTTGAATCCATCCCATTTGTTGATTCTTGGTTTAAACTCTTGTGCTATAGGCATCTTATTAAGAAAGTTGGGGCCTTGCCCCACATGATGAAGATTAGGGCCTACTTTTTCTTCTATTAGATGCAGAGTTTCTGGTTTATGAAATTGGATTTGTACATTTAAAAGCAGTTGAATCTCAACATCCTAGTGTTCATTTCTAACACCATTCTCTAAGAGAAGGAATTGGTTTTCTTGGATAAATGGCTGATTCTAGGATCAAGGTAGGAAGTATACAAGATGAGCCTAAAGCATCTTATAAAGGAAGAAATGTGTTCAAAAAATCAGCATGGTAAGGGTATGCTAAAGGAATATAAAACCTGTTGAAAGAGTTTTCAATAAGGCACTGAAATTATTTGAGCAACAAAGTAAATACATATCCACCCCCTTATCCTGGGGAGGTATGTGCCAAGACCCCCCAGCACATGCCTGAAGCCAAGGAGAGTATGCTTTTTTCCACCAAGTGACTAATGGGCATGAATAAAGGGATGATTGACACCCTGAGCCATACAGATGAAATTTCATCCTGCTACTCAGAATACATGCACTTTAGAATTTGTGAATTATTTCTGGAATTTTCCATTTAAAATTTTCAAAACTACAGTTGATTCTAGATGACTTAAGTTGCAGATAAAGGGGATTATTGTAATATAGTAATGGTTTAGACCCCATATCCATAAGTCCATACTGATATAAATGAATCAATTAATAAGTAGGGGACAAATATCTTGTTAACTTATCTTATTTATCTGGATGGTTCCCTCAAGGATTTGGAGATTAATTCCAGACACCTTAATTGTGCAATGTGCACTGAATAAAAAAATCATAGTGACTTCCTTCCTAAAAGTACTAAAGAAATCTGACATATATTACCTCAGCCCAGTAATCCAAATCAGCATCAATAGCATCTTGATACTATGTGTCCCTACTCTGCAGACATGAGAATGACCCTTTAGCTGTGTGGTCCTCCTCTACCAAACCCATAACACTAATCTAATCACGAGAAATACAGTATATACAATACCTGACCAATACTTTCAAAACTATCAAGGCCATTAAAAACAGTGTAAATTTGAAGAGCCTAAGAAGACATAACAACTAAATATGTGGAATTGTGGATAGGACTTTGAAACAGAAAAAGGAATTTGGTAAAAACTAAGGAATTCTGAGTGAAGTGTGGACTTCCAAATATATCTTTATGAATCATCAGTTTTTGATAAGTGAACCACAGTAATATGAGATGTTGTTGAGGAAAACTGGGTGCGAAGTGTACAGGAATTCTCTGTATTATCCTTATAACTTTCTGTAAAAATCTGGAAGTTATAAAATTAAAAAGTTTATTTTTTTAGAAAAGTTGAATACTAGCAATTTCATGTAACTCAACAAATACTTACTCTAAGATTGTTGTGGTAGTAATTAGGTAACATATGTAAATCACTTAAAATAGTACCTGATTCAGGAAATGTTCTGTAGATGATAATTTTTACAAGGATGGCTGTTATTATTTTTGTTGCTTCAGACAGAGTAACTGAGATTGAGGGAAAAAAGATGGCATTTATTTAGTCAATATTTATTATGTGCCAATTACTGAACTAACCAGTGGAGATCATAATCAAGATACAGTTTGAGATAAAAAATAGAAAAACCTAAAAAGTAAAATAAACTTTGTGGAAGTATAAAAAGTATAGTTATCTCCTAGAGAAGGGAAGCATGCTGCTTAGTTTAGTAAACCTCTGAAGGTTCCTATGGGCCTGTTTAACTAGAGAACTAGCTGATTTTCATAATGATGAACAGGAGGACTTGAAAGGAAAGTGATGAGTTGGTTTTTTTTCATATATTCTTCAGTTATTGAACGAAATATACAGCAAAGATTAAGTTATTGTTTGAAAAATCTGCTTTGTGGAAAATCTCATTCCTTTTATAATTCTTTTTGTTGTTTTTTTAAAGTCCCTCATTCTTTTTCCTTCTCACCCTTTTTTAGAAGGCAGCCCTCATAATTTCTTTCCACAAAGATTATACCTAAATTATGGTACTTTTCTTCACTAACTCTGTTCTCTAATCTCCAAAAAAATACCAATGCCTTTTCCCCTTCAAGTTAGTTCTCTCCATGATTATTTGATGATCCTAGCTTCATTCCTCCTCTGTAAGCAGTGTCTCATTTGGGAATTTTAACATTATTTATATCAGTGACTATCATCACAACAGCCTTTTTTTTTTAAAAGCTATCTAGTCGTTTTCCAGAGCTTATCATATTAATATCTTAACTTGTTTGAGTTAGAGTACTTTTTGAATCCATGAATGAATGGAAATTTTATCTCCAGCCATATCCTTACTTGAATCTCAAATTTATTAGAGCAATTATTATTTTTTAATTAATCTACAGGATATGCAATTGCCATAATGTAACCACTTAGTATACTTCTTTTTAAGATGTCTTTTAAAAATTTGTTTACAACAGTATACAACTTACAAGTGTTCAGTCCTGCCTCTAGGAATGTTTATTAAATTGATATTTAAATTTTGCTTTCTTTTTTATGATTCTATGGCATTCGTAGATATCATTGATTAAAGTTGTTTCAGACTATATTATCTTCCCCAAATGCTAATTCATTGTTCAAAAGAAATTCATTGTCCATAATTAAAGAAATTTAGTAAAGAGTTATTTATTTATTTAGTTAGTTAGTTAGTAAAGAGGTGACTCCCTCTTTTCTGAAGAAAAAATTTATTATATCTCTTATATCTGAGAATAAAGAAAAGCAGTTGCAAATAAGGGCAAGTCTTGAATTTAGTAAATGGAAATTAAGGTTAAAAAATAAATTCTCTATAATAGTGGATTTGAACTTTAATATTTCTCATCTGAAGGGCTGTTAAGACACAGATTACTTGCCCACTTTTATTAAAACACAGGTAACTTGCCCACTGTTTCTCATTCAATGTGTCCAGGTGAGGCCTGAACATTTGCATTTATCCTAAGTTCCAGATGAGGACTGATGTTGGAACCACGTTGAAAAGCACTGCTCTACAAAGTAGTTAAAATTACGTAGAGCAATCTTTTACCTCCTTTTTCTTCATAAATATTCCTACTTATTGTATACAAAAAAATATTACTGATCTCAGAACAGAAAACATCTAAGACTATAAAAGCAATTGACTTGCATTACATTTCTTTTTAATGATAAATAGGTTTCCTGTCCATTGAAAAGAAAATAGTCTATAAATCCATTTATTAAAATGACTATAAACCTTCTGGGTGTTGCTTCAAATTATAAAATTACTAACCTTAAAACAATTATAAAATACAAGTATTCATTGTCACTAATTAGTGTTTTCATTAAAAAGGAAGTTATTTTCCTTATCAAATAAAAATTTAGAAATAGTTTATTGCTACTAAAAAGAATTTTTTGTGGTATTTAGGAACCAAATCCATCTAATCCAATATAAGAGACTGACTCTGGTTTTGTTGAGTAGAAACTTCTCTAAAATAAATTAATAATCAGCTCTATCCCAAGAGGGACATTTTAGAATTAATAAGTAAGAGCAAATGATTTGATTTTATTATAAAATAATAGATATATTGAGAATTAATTGGGAAGTATAATAAAAAATACCAGCATCTATTATGCAAAACTTATTCAAGAAATTAAATGTTAAATTTTATTTAGTGAAAAATATGTACCAAATACTTTTGTGATGTTCTTTATAACTGCACACAAGCTTTGGTTGGGCTTGACCATCTTTAAAACAACAAAACCTTATATATCTATTGCTTCTGTTTATATTCAAGAAAGAGTGGCCCAATATATCAGGGGCCATGCAGCTATTTCACCTGGTAATACCTCTTTTGGAAACTTATCCCAAATAATAGTACAAAAGAAACAAGTTACAAGCACAATGGTTTTTGGTTTTTCCCCACAATTCTTTTAGAATAGCAAAAAGTTAGAAGCAACCTAAAATGTAACAGTGGGAGTAAGGACATTAAATTACATCACAGCTACTGAATGAAAATTATGATCATTCACAGTGTTCATTACAAAAATTATATGGAACTGTGGGAGAATTCTTAAGATGTGGTGAGAGCAAGATATAAAATATATTTGCATGCAGGAAAGAAGGAACTATTCAAAAATAAAAATAATTCTATTTATTAGGATAATGATTCAACAGATTTTTTTTTTCCTTACATTTCAATCATGTTGTGTTTGGGTTTTTTTAATATGTATATTCTTTCATTGTTGTTTGGGGGATTATTTATTTTTTGAAAATGAGCTAGACCATATCAAGTTCTATTTAAGAAGCTAGAGCACTTCTTGAACACTGTTGGATCTGCCTTAGAGATACTGCTCTCAGGTCATGTAACTTTTAGAAATGAGATAGGCTAGAAAACACCTTTACTATCCCAAATACTTCACTAAAGTTCTGTTGTTTATTTAAGAACTTCTTTTTCTGCTTATTAGTTATTTTGAGATTATGAGAATACATTCTTGACAACTGTGTATGACATATTTATGACAGTTTTATATGCCACAGTGGTTTGGAGTATTCTCTTTCTCTCCAATTCTTAGAAATTCACTTCACAATGAGGTTATATTAAAAGTCATTCAGAATGTTTGAATAGAAGAATAAAGTAATGTTTTGTTTTGTTTTGTAATTTTTCTTTTACAGGAAAGAGCTGATCCTCTCTGGCACTTTAAATCCAATTAAGGACTTACATCTAGGAAAACTGGCCTTAACTAAGTTTCCAAAGAGTCCAGAAACATGGATTCACAGGTGTGATTAATTTACAGCATAGTATTCTTGTATAGAATTAACAATGACTGGAGGAAGAAACAGCATTGTGAAGCAGGATTGTGTGTTGATTCAAAGCATGAATTCTAAAGTCATGTTACCTACATTTCCAATCTAGGGCTATCACTGGCTACCCAAGTGCTTGTAAGAAATGATTTTTAAAAATTTTTTTTTTATTGTTGGTTGTTCAAAACATTACATAGTTCTTGATATATCATATTTCACACTTTGATTCAAGTGGGTTATGAACTCCCATTTTTACCCCGTATACAGATTGCAGAATCACATCAGTTACACTTCCATTGATTTACATATTGCCATACTAGTGTCTGTTGTATTCTGCTGCCTTTCCTATCCTCTACTATCCCCATTCCCCTTCCCTTCCCTCTTCTCTCTCTACCCCCTCTACTATAATTCATTTCTCCCCCTTGTATTATTTTTCCCTTTCCCCTCACTTCCTCTTGCAGGTAATTTTGTATAACCCTGAGGGTCTCCTTCCATTTCCATGCAATTTCCCTTCTCTCTCCCTTTCCCTCCCACCTCTCATCCCTGTTTAATGTTAATCTTCTTCTCATGCTCTTTGTCCCTACTCTGTTCTTAGTTACTCTCCTTATATCAAAGAAGACATCTGGCATTTGTTTTTTAGGGATTGGCTGGCTTCACTTAGCATAATCTGCTCTAATGGCATCCATTTCCCTCCAAATTCTATGATTTTGTCATTTTTTAATGCAGAGTAATATTCCATTGTGTATAAATGCCACATATTTTTTATCCATTCGTCTATTGAAGGGCATCTAGGTTGGTTCCACAGTCTTGCTATTGTGAATTGTGCTGCTATGAACATCGATGTAGCAGTGTCCCTGTAGCATGCTCTTTTTAGGTCTTTAGGGAATAGACCAAGAAGGGGTGTAAGAAATGATTTAACCTCTTCAATTCTCAGTTTTCACATTGCTAAATGACAGTAATTATTATACTCATGTCATAGGGTTAATAGTTCAATGTACTTGGGAACACTACACATGTAAACACTACCAAAGTGCCTGTCATGTATTAAATACTTAGTAAACATTAGCTACTGCTAACTGTGGTAATGTGAAGACTGCATTTAGAGATTCAACTATAGTGAGCATCTTGCATTTGAATGTGTTAGGTTGCATTCCTGGTAAAGAAGTTGGTGGTGATTGTTATGGTTATTCAAATTAACTTATAAAGGAAGCTAAAGGCAGCTAAGACAAAGGGTACATAGGCTGAGCTATAATTACTAGAATCACTAATGCAAAGAGTAATTTTAAAGACCTGAGGTAGTGAGATGGAAATAAGGACCCTCAAAATCATGGCCAGCCAGAAGCTTATTTGTCTTATTTATAACTGCTTTTATTTGACTACAATTGAATGAAAAAGGTTTGCTGCCTGGTGATAATGGAGAAGTTACTCTGTAGTCTATTCTCACTAAGCCACTTATTTTTAATTGTGGGCATTTTTATTTATTTCAGTATAAGGAATTTAGGTATAATTGTTCCTTTGGCTAGCATTTCAAGGCAGCTCCTCTCAAACCACAGTTGTATTTTCTTATTTATTAGAAATTGGAATAGGCCTTAGAGAGTCATGGCATTGTGTAGGGGCTTAAAAAGGGATGGGGCAGGGCAAGGAAAATATTAAAAATGCATTCATCAATTATTGGGTGTCTTTAGTTTTTTAATGAAGTAATAATTTTGTTAAACAAAACCTATTTTTTCGATGAATTGAGTTTTTTCGATGAATTGAGTTTTCTTATTCAATTTTCTGTACCTCTGGGTCAGAAATTTTTAGTCTAAAAGAATGCTTTCATAAGAGGAAAATGTTTGTACAACCAAAAGCATTAAGTAGTTAGAAATGCTTTTTACAGCTTTTGGTTTAGATGTATGCTAGTACAGATCTTAAATAGACAAAGGGAAAAATCTATGGATAAAGACATTTTAAAACATCTTCTGATGGTTTAAATTATATTGTATTCTTTCTAGATTTTATGCTGCAATATAGAAATTTTGCATAATGAAAGCTTTCCAAGTGCAGCTTCTCATTTGCACACAAATATACATAGGGGTGAGGCATGCACATGTAATTGAAGATGTGAACCATAACTCTGCTACTAATGTTTACCAGCCATTAATTAATACTCCATAACCATCACCACTACACATAAATACACAGACTAGTTCCTTTTACATTTCTTGGCCAAATGGAGTTTGGGAGTTGTCATTCAAAATTGATGATATTCTTTTTTTTGACAGATTTTAAAGCTTTAGAAAATATTTCCTTTCCTGTTTGTCCTGTTTTAGTCATGCTCCTAAATTTAACTGTCTTCAAAACAGCAAGCCCTTCTTACTTCTCTCAAAATTAGGCTTATAGATAGGACTATTTTGCATTAATAAATAAATGCAGAGAACACTGAACAAAGAATACTGTCTTTTTTCCTCTCTGGTTTATGTTCTTTCCTCGTTTTTTCCAAATGCTTCCTTAACAGGCGATGGGTGCTACAACAGCTAATTCAGGAAACTTCCTTGCCTTCCTTTGTGACCAAAGGAAATTTGGAAACAATCCCTTCAGAGAGGACACAGCGACTAATACAAGAAGAGATGGAAGTCTGTGGTGAAGCAGCAGGGAGATATCCAAGCAATTATAATGCCTGGTCTCATCGCATCTGGGTGTTACAACACTTGGCCAAGCTAGATATCAAGGTAGGGCTATTATTCAGTCCCAGTGGGCAGACTATCAGCCTGCCCTTTAAATTTTCCTCAAAAGAATTTAAAGCGCTAAAGGAGCAGAGTAAGTAATGGTTCAGTAGCATGAACAGATCATGACTGCTGATACCCCTAGAGAACACCTGGTAATTATGGAAGTGTTTTCATTATCCACTAGTGTGGTTCTGGGGCACCAGTAAGGCTAGTGCATTGGTAGACAAAAGGAGGCTAAACCATTCAGGGAAGGTTGAGCACTCACTTTGTCCTGAAACAAGAAAAGATTATTAAGCCTTTTAGAATTTGGAACTATTTTTTGGTAGTCTCTAGTTATATGCTCACTGTGCTGAATCAACTGGCTATCTTTTCCCAATATCCTCTCCTGGAAGTTGGGGAAGAAGAGGAGGTACAGAAGATACCACCCAGGTGTTCCCACATTTGACAGAGCCTGTAAATTATCTGAAGTTTCCTAGGTTCTATTCCAGGCCTAAAAATCAGAATGAGGTTGAATCCACAGATTCAGAGAATTATTTGGATGCAATGTGGTTGGAACCTCTCATAACCTAATTTCAGTTTTAAAATAAGGAGATGGAGGTTTCCAAAGAATTTTAATAGTTTAGAGTTAGCCACAGTTGTACCATATATTATTCATTACTGAAATCCAGGTATCACTTGTGCTCCTTTTTATATACTACAGCATCTCAGTCCGGCCCCACTTTTTTTTTCTTATGGCATTTTAATGCCATAAGAATCTCGAGTACTTATCTCCTTCTTCCTACATCTCCCTTTGCATGTTCTCATTCCCTATTTTATTTCATAGCCAGAGATTCTTCCAGAACAAATAAGAGATTTTTTACTTTTAGGAGATTTTAAGCTAACAATTTTGGAAGAGAATCCCTTTTCCTTTCAGTTTATATGGCTATGAGTTTCAGGAGTGGAGTCCACCTGCTGGAGTAGAAAAAAGATCAAAACTTAGACTCCCATCAGCCTGAGTCCAAATTCTGCCCTTACCAGCTATATATAGGAAAGTGAGGCTTTAATGTTTTTACTTTTGAAATGAGGAGTCTACTCTCTGCCTCTGGGTTATTTTGAGAATTATTGCCTGAATTAATTTGTTGAAAGTACTGGGCATCTCAGAGAGGTTTTTTATCTGCTCTCCCATGAATAAAAAATTTAGGTAAAATTGGCTATCAGTTTGCTTGATCAATTCAGTGTAATGTATTCATGAAAAAGTGCCAACCCCCCCATCATTCCCAACCACTCTCCTGTGTACTGGTTGTGATAGTAAAGACAAGAACTTGCTATCAAAAAATTGAAACTGGTTCAGGAAGCAAATCAACACTTACAAAGCAGCATGTACTTGAAGGGACTGGGGGAATCTCAGGATACAAGTAAGAACAGAGAAATGGCTCTTTGTCTAGGTCTTTGGAAACAGCTGAGGCTGGAAGCATGCATACAAGTTATTTGATGTGTTGTCAGTGTTATGAAGTACTTTAGAGCTGTTTATCTCAACTCCACAGTTTGATAATGGGGAGAGTAGGAGTGGAGGATAGAGTGGAGGTTTGTGGGTCCAAAGGAAGGCAGACTCCAGGTGAGCTGAGAGGTCTTTGGAAACACTCCCGCCCACCATGTTGTAGACTTTTTCAAGTAGCATTTCATAAAATCAGGAATAAGGGACCAAGGTATAATTTTTGTTACTTGAGACCATGATATGTTAAAGATGACAGCTTATTAGTGGACTCTGGCTGAGCTGCCTGGATTTACTCATAGGCTCACATGTTGTCAGCCTTCCTTGACCTACCTTGGGAGGTGTGGGAGCCTGCTGTTCTTCCTGTCACTGCCACCACTGCAGCATCTTTTGTTCTCATTGTTTTCAGGAAAGAGTGCTGAGTTTTCAAAATCCCTTTTCTGTTGTTACAAGCCATTGGACCCAGCTAGCATAACATGTTCTGCTATGCTTTGTCTACTAGAGGAAGCAATATCAAAAGTATTAGTAATCTAGAGCAACTTAAAAATACATGAAAATAAACTGGCATTTTTTAAATTAGAAAATTGAAAATGACTTTTTAAAGTGCTAGTATCCTGTATGACAGAGTATGAAAATAAACATTGTAAAAATTGTTATCTTAAACAGTCCTGCTTCCAGGAATTCATCATAAAGAAATAATAGGGGTGTGGTATTGTGTAATGATAAAAGGTTACATTCTGTGTTCATGCAGGCTAATTTGCATCCTGACTCTACCTCCAGTTTGCTCTGTAACCTTGAGGAAGTTAGCCTCTCTTTTAATTTTTGGCTTCCTTTTCCTGTCTCATCCACTGATGCACATTGAATGGACAGATTCACATGAAGTGGCTCTTACTAAGAGCCCAATAAACATTGGCCATTATATTAAATATGAAGGTCTGATATATAAAAGTAGCATTTATAATGGTTAAAAGCTTGAAAGACTAATTCTCCAAAATTGAGGGACTAGGTACATTACAGTTTATCACAGATTAGAATATTTCATTGCTCCTAAACACAGTACTTAGATAATTATTTAAAGATAGATATTCACAGTAGGTTAAGGTCATAAGCTAAATATGTGGGGCACTTCATATAATTTTAATCTATTAAGCATTGAATGAGATAATAAACACTTGTAAGTGTTTGGAACATTGCCTGGTATATAGTTAATGCTCTGCAGATATTTATATGTACATATATAATTCATGGATATTATTCTTAATTTTATAATAAGGATATATTAATTTTTTAGTCAAAAAGATCACAGAATAAAGAATGGCTAATAGGTTTTTTTTTATATTTCTCTATGATGTCTGTGTTTAAATGAACATGTATTTTAGTAAGTTTTTAAATCTTATTTTTGAGGGGAGAGTAGGAGGGAAACTTGTTGTCAAGCAGAACTACTAACCGATTTTTTAATGCTGATGTGGTATGTCACCTGAAAAAACACATAGAGTAGTTTCTTCAGAAAAGATATACAACTGGCCATGGTGACACATACCTGTAATCCCAGCAATTTGGGAGGCTGAGGCAGGAGAACTGCAAGTTCAAGACCAAACTCAGAAACTTAGTGAGGCCCTATCTTAAAGGACTTAGTGTGACCCTGTCTCAAAGTAAAACATAAAAGGGGGGCTGGGGATGTGACTCAGTAGTTAAGTAAGACTGGTACCAAAAAAAAAAAAAAAAGATATACAGATGGTCAGTAAGGACATGAAAAGCCTTCAGCATCATTAACCATCAGAGGAATGCAAATCAAAGCCACAGTGAGTGAGATACTGTTTCAAACCAACTAAAATGGCTGAAAGAAAAACAGATAATAACTAATGTTTATGAAGATAAGGAGAAATTAGAGGCCTTTTTTGTTTCTAGTAGGAATGTAAAATGGTACAATTCCTGTGGCATTTCCTCACATTAAACATGGAATTTTACATATGCAAAAATGTAAGGTTAAAACCCATGTATTGTATTCTTGAGGGGAAAAATAGTTACCATGGAGGACCTTGAAGTTCTACGCATAGATGTATACCCAAGAGAATTGAAAACGTGTTCATACCAAACATTTACAGCCACATTATTCATAGTAGCTAAAGAGTAGTAGCAACCCAAAATGTGTTATCATCTGTGAAAAGGAAAAAAAAAAGAAAATGTGGTATGTTCATTGAATGGAACATTGGCCATAATAAAGGAATGAAATACTGGCACACCCTATAATATGGATGACCCTGGAAATGTTTTGCTGATTGAAAGCAGCTATGTAATACATGATTCCATTTGTGTGATCAGAATCTGCAAAGCAGATTATCGAGTGTCAGACACTAGGAAGGAGAGACTGGGGGAATGACTCATTGCTAATACGAATGGGATTTTTTGGTTTGGTTTGGTCTGGTTTGGGGTTTGCTTTTGGGGATGTGATGAAAATGGTTTACATTAGATAGTAGTGACAGCTGTACAACTCCAAGTATACTAAAAACCACTGATTTATTTTTTTAACTTAAAAAATTGACTTCAGAGTTCATTTGAAAGAATAAATCTTAAGAAATAAATTGTTGAATAAAAGAAGAACACTATACCACCAGATGTTTAAATGTTTAAATAATTAAAACTATGGTACTGTTTCAGAAACTCAGTAATGGAAAGAATACCAAGCCCTGAAACAAATCCCATTGCATACTATGTACAGATTTCATCGATGAACACTATGACATTTCTCATAATTAAAGAGTTTTTATCCAGTTTGTTGATAAAAACTTACTTTGTGGAAAATAATTGGGTTTTTACCTCATACTACATAAGCTATGTGCAAGTGAACGAGGCAAATACTTCATGATATCACTTGTATGTGGAATTTTAAAAAGTTGAACTCATAGAAACAAAAAAATAGAGTGATAGTTGTAGGAGTTGGGATGGGGAAAAGAATAGGGAGTTGCTGGTCAAAGGTACTAAGTTTCAGTTAGGATAAATAAGTTTTGGAGATAATATATTTAAAATTTGCTAATAATAGGTCTTTAGTGTTCTAACCGTGACAAATATGTGGGGTGATAGATAAGTTAATTAGCTTGATCATGGTAGTCATTTCACAGTACATACATAAAACACTATATTGTACACCATAAATACATAACAGTTTTTATTTGCCAGCTGTATCTCAGTAAACCTGGTGGTGGAAAAGGATTAAAACATTAATTGCAATAAGATATTGACCAAAAAAAGTGACAAATTGAGACTTAATATCTCATTAATATATAAATATCTCAGAAAACTGTAAAACATGACTATTACAAATATAAAGTTAGGTAACTCATAAATGAAGAGAATTAGGCAAAATAGGTATTTCATAAAGAAGAATCAAAGGGAAAATAAGCATACAAAAATATTTAGCCTTTATTATAACTAAAGAAATGTAAGCTAAAATGAAGCTTTTTTTTTTTTT